ACCGGTGGTCGAACGTAACTAGCCTCTTTAGGTCCGCTGCTTTAAGCGGCCAGGTTTCACAACCGTACAGTAGGATCGAACGTACTGCTGCATTGTACACTCTACCTTTCAGGGCAAGAGTGATGTCGCGCCGGCGCCATAAGTGGCGAAGGTTAGCAAAAGCGCACCGAGCTTTTGCTATACGGTTCGTGATCTCATCTTCAATCCCACGGGCGCTGATACAACTTCCCAGGTAGTTGAATTTTTGAACGACTTCTAGCTGATCCCCACCAAGGGCCAGCGTAGGGGGCGGCCCAGACCAATCTTGGAGGAACGCTTTGCACTTCGAGGGTGCGAAGCAAAACCCGAAGTGACGGACAATAATAAATAATAATAATGTGTCAGCTGTACGCCGTAACGGCGCTTTGCTGCCGCGCGACCACCACCAGTCACGCGCGGGCTGTGTATACCGCGAGGACGCCCATCCCTACGCGGATTCGAACCGGTGATCTTGTGGTTGCAAAGCAAACGTGCAGACCACTCGGCAACCGGCCGACAAGTGACGGACAGCTAGTGCTAATCTGTCTAGTGCCGCTTGGTACGTTTGTGAGCTGTCACAGATTAGGGCAATATCATCAGCTTACTCTAAGTCAAGACGTCGTTCTCCTGGGAGTAGCTCCACACCTTCTAAGTCGTGTCCTGTAAACGCGCTTTCCATGACTTCATCAACAGCGACGTTGAAGAAGAAAGGTGAAACGTGCATCCTTGTCTCACGCCGCTGGAAATATTAAAGGGCGACGGCAACTTACCATAAGCCCTCACTCTGCCCGAGCTACGAGCATATAATGCTCGGATAATATTCACATATTTCTCGAGCACACCTTTCCTGAGTAGACAGTCCCAAAGTGCATGTCTATCCACCGAATCGAATGCACCTTTGATATCGAGGAACACGACAATGGTGGGCCGGCAATATATGTGACGGTGCTTCAACAACTGACGCAAGGTGAAGATGTGGTCAATGCAGCTACGACCTCGATGAAATCCAGCTTGCTCTTCACGAATCTGGCTTTCACTAGTGCCAGTCAGTCTGTGAAGGATGACAGAGGCAAGAAATTTGGAGGCGATGGAGATCAGACTGATTCCTCTATGGCTGCGGCATTCCGATCGTGAGCCTCCTTTGAAAATTGGGACTATGACGGAGCGGCTCCAATCGGTTGGGACAGTTTCCTGCTCCCACAGTTTCACTAGTAACTCGTGTAAATCATCCACGAGGGCAGGTCCCCCGAATTTGAACAGGACTGGAGGAAGGTCATCAGGTCCCGCGGCTTTATTTAACTTCAACAGTTTGATCTCACGACGTTCGACTTCTGAGCGAGAGGGTGGATCCAAAGGGACAGCCCAGGGATTGGGGCGATCAGTGGCCGGCGAGAAATCTAACCATTCCGACCGATTAAATTGCCTTTTAAAGTGCTCAGCCCAACGCTCTAAGCGTTTTGATAAGTTGTGAATAGGCTGTCCACTCTCGTCACGTATAGTTTCACTGACACCAGGACTCCTGCTGCCCGTTTACCTTATCAGACGGAATAACTTACGATGGTTACCAAGGGCAGCAGCCATCTCCATCTCTGTTGCACGATTAGACCAGCAGGATTCGCGGTCTCTCTTCAGGCTAGCACGGAGTTTTGCCCGGAGCTCTTTGCGAGTTTCATTGTGCTGGCGAGCATCTATAAGTTCCAGAGACTGTGAAGAGACCCAATGTCCATGTTGGCGATTAAACACACCACATGAGGATTTTCCTGCTGCTAGTAAGGTCTGGTGAATATGAGACCAGTGAGCTTCAGTTGCATCCAGTGAGCGTTTATCCAACTCGCATGTCAGCGTACTTTGGTAGGCATTCAGAACAGCTGGTCTCGCCATTTGGCTGGTGTCAATGCGCTCACAACGTCGTCGTTGGCGTCCGCCAAAACGCTTCCGAATGTCAGCATATACAAGTGCATGGTCGGTGTCCACACATGTGCTCCAAATCGAACGACAGTTCTGGACGCAGCCTCTCCATCGGTAACTTATCGCAATGTGATCGATTTGCGTCCATCGCTGGTTCGAGACTGGTGGGCGCCAAGTCACCCTCCGGCGGGTGCTGTGTCGGAAATTAGTGCTCGCAAGAAATAAGCGAGCATCCTCACACAAATGAAGTAACCGCTCACCGTTATCATTACGGGAGCCTATACCATGTTGGCCGCCCAGATGCAGCTCATCTGTGGATAATTTTCCAACTTGGGCGTTCAGATCTCCAGCCAGCACTACAGTGTCCGAGCTTCTTCTGTGGCAAAGGAGCTCGTTGAGTTGGCGATAGAAGTCGTCTTTTACCGAGTCACCGCTACAGTTTGTCGGTGCATAGGCAGCGATATCGAATAGACACCTGTTAGTCCCACGCGACTTCGAAGTTTTGAACGAGCCAGCCAATCGGACCGCACACATCCGGCTACTGATTGGAATCCAATCAACCAGAGCAGTTTCAGCCCGGGGACTCAGGGCAATACCAACACCGGCTTGGCCGGTGCTCGAAGCTGCATCGTCACCGGATAGGCGCAACGAGAAAGTGCTGCTAGTTTCACCTAAAGGGGATCGTAGAGTGAGCACAGAGCTCGAGTCTTGCAGGCGGGTCTCCGATAAGCAGCAGATATCGATCGAGAGGGTCTCTAATGTTCGAGCAAGTGCTGCCTGTTGACCTATCTGAAGGAATGTGCGAACATTTGGGCATGCCAATCTGAAGGAGGCTCGAGGGCTCCAAATGGAAGTCGATGAACTGGAATGTGCTGCTTGCTTGGGCATGGGCCTGTTGACAGGGCAGGAATGATGCTCCGCGTTCACATGTGAGTTGAAACTAAAAGACAATCGACTATTGTAGCAACGTGGGGGAGGGCCGAGAATTGGGTGGTTGAAAAGGGGGGATAAATGTGAAGCTGGAACGGGACGATAAGGGTGAAAAAGCGCAAGAAGAGGGAATAAGAAGACGGGAAGGCTTGAGCAGTAGCATCCAAACCCCTATCTGCCCTGCCCGATGCAGCAGATAGGGCATCGTTGATTATCCTCTGCGGTGGCCAGAGCATCAGAAATTTGTTTGAAGTGTGTGTGTGCGTCAATTCAGCAGTTGATAAACTGTGACAATATTCCGAGATGCTTCGGGGAGATTCTGAGGGCGTACCATGCAAGAGCGAGTGGATAATGCACTTCTTGGAGCGAATTGTGTCCGAGGCACAAACCTGCGTTACTCCCCAGCACTGCCTACAAATTATCGATAATCTAAGAAGGAATTACGCTCGTCCTATGCATTGCATGGATTTGTAAATCTTTTTTTCGCTGACATAAATGTATATGGTTTGAAAAGATGTCATCACTTATGTATCGCTAGTTCATAAGTTCGACATTCAGACTAAATGTTGGGGCACGCAGTTTGCGCATGCTTCCAGTGTGATGCTTCGAGACAACCATTCGGTATCCTTATAGTTCAAGAGTCGGGACGGCAACTGCAGTGGTGCTACTGACGAGAAACCTGAATGTCTGTCAATAAATGGTATGTCAGTGCACAATGCGGAATGTTAACGCATTGCCATGAAGGCTGACCACGCGCCTGCAGAACCTTACGTCTAAGGTTCGTGCGGCAGGTAATCACGTTTACGTTCAGTATGTGTGCAACATACTTCCAGTTGCGTCCCTCTTCATAAGTCTTTAAGTATTATATTCATGATCTCCGCCGAGTGCCGTGTACGAGTGCCTTTTTGTGGCGTTCGGAGCAGAGCAAGTTGTTGCACTAACTGCACGATTCCACTCGACATGGCGTGCCTGTGGAGTTAATTTCACCGCCATGTTAGTCACCGTACCAGGGCAGTCGGTGGCAGGTCGATCACGTGATCTCACGTCGCGAACAGTCCATGAATATGGCTCATACGATTGCGCACGTGCAACTTGTCACTAGACGCACGCGATGCAGCTTCAAGCGTGACCAGTGCAAACATTTGGGGGAACGATGCAACGAATTGAGAGAAGGTGTTGTGCGTAGAAGGATTTTAATTAGTTGTCGCTAGTTAGATAATATGGCGTGTAATCTAGTCGAGACGAACTTGGTTACTCGCTAAAATCCTTCTAGTAACTCTGTCATATTGTTGGCTGTCATTGCGCCGAGCATTCATGGTTAGTAGAAAGCGCCAGTTCTACCATGCATGAAATTGTCTCTGTCTCAGTTCGTTCATTCCCCAATCAAGTTAAGTGCTGTATTCAGTACATGTTCGCTAAGCGATATGACTCACTTGTTTTAACACTTGGTTTAGACGCGTGTGAAGAAAATGTAGGTCCTTTTATCTAAACGTGGCAAGACAGCCGTAACAACGTATACCACTGTTGTTTCAGCAGACTGTATCTCATAGAATAGGGAGTTATGCTCCCAATAAACAGAAAAAGGCAAAATGGCATCAGCAGTACGCCGGTGCGCAGTGCCGATGCTTCGCTGCCACGCAACCACCATCGGTCACACGTAGGCTGAGGATACTGCGAGAGTCGCCCTGCCCCTACGCAGGCTTGAACCGGCGCCGCAAGATAAGTAGACAAGCTCGTTACCACTAGGCTATGGACCCCAGATAAACTGAAGCAAGTTGTATTTAATATTCGGGTATACGCTACTCTGCTTGGATGTATAATCGACTAGATTCTCAGCAGAAAAAGTAAACTGGATTATCGGCAAGACCGTCGACTTAATAACATATTTTCTACATGGTATCCTGCTCACAAAACAATGAATTCGCTTCAGAGACTTCACTATAACGATCCTGATATTGACGGTCACCTACTGCTATGCTTTGTGCTTGGTGTTTTCGGTGAGAACGTTCCTTATTTCATGATGTACTTATTCCTCACTTTGTTGGTCTTGATGAAGTGTTCTCTATGTCTCATCGGCAAACAGTGTCTAATTGAAGTCACCTTGATAACTCATCGAACCCGCTAATTTCGCTTTGACTCTACAGAAACAATCATCCAGAGGTTCCACGGCCAAATTTACCAAACAGACTAGTGCTTTTGTGACCCGGCTAGTGACCACTTGTCATTTTGAAGCGGAACAAACGGCATTGAACAGAGGTCTGGCTCGGCACGATCTCACCTTACAGCAGTTGGGCTTCCTAGCTCGTTTCCGCCGGGGATGCTGTGCAATTCAAGCGTGGTGTGACTTGTGCGCTCATCGTTTGCGGTATGAAGCGGTTTCTGATACGAATTGTTTTGAGAATACCAGAAGCTCTGGGCACTGTGTTTTGCTGTTCCGGTAAGTGTCTCTTTTTCAACCATGACAAACTGTCGGTTAGTATTAGGTCTGGACCCCTCGTAACACTTAATTCCACTACCGAGGTCCTTACATATTTGCAATCCCAGGACTGCGACTTCGAACATGTATGTCAGCTGGGACCGAGTCGCGATCGGACAATTTAAGTGACCGAATTGTTCAAATCCACTTCAAAGTGATGAATCGCGGACAGACTGGATCTTAACGTGGTGTGATGGTTTGTGTGCCTCCGTGATCCATTGAGCTATGCTGGGCAATGCTTTTTTGCACCTTCAGAGCCACTCATACCAGATTGGTCAATGATTAGAGGCCACACAAACCCAGTCTCCTAGCCGTCAAGGTTGGGGGTTGGAGTGAGGATGGCTCCTTACTCCACAAAACGGGCTCTCTGTTGTAGTCCAGTGACAAAACCCCGCTGCATTGCGGCAAGATTTTTGAACCAAAGGCTTTGGTTGAGAACCCCAATCGTTCTCGTCTAGGCCTGAGCAACCTGAGAGTATTCTGCCAGTGCAATACAATGAAACTTTCTTCTAACAATTTCTTGATGTTCGTAGAGAGTAGAAGTCACGATTAAACTGCACACAATAATCTGCCTTGACGGTGAATCGAACCTCAGTCCCACGAATTACCGGTCCGCTGCCCTACCACTGAGCAGCGCGCACCAAGCAGAAGTCATGTATTAAATTGCGCACCTGATCGTCAGTTCTCGGTAGCTCCGTGGTAGAGCAGCGGACCGGTAATTCGTGGGACGGAGTTCGATTCCCCGTCGAGGCAGATTATTGTGTGCAGTTTAATCGTGACCTCTACTTTCACGAACATTACACTACTCACAAAAATCCACAAGTAATCTACCATCGCCCTTTGGACATCAGAAGGACAGATACCTCGGTCCATTGGGAAGTGACGAGTGAGTGAGCCAATCTGCAACACCAGGACAGATACTGTGAACTCATTGGCAATACGTCGCGCACCAAGCAGAAGTCATGTAATAAATTGCGCACCCGGTCGTCAGCCCTCGGTAGCTCAGTGGTAGAGCAGCGGACCGGTAATTCGTGGGACCGGGGTTCGATTCCCCGTCAAGGCAGATTATTGTGTGCAGTTTAATCGTGACTTCTACTTTCTACGAACATTACACTACTCACAAAAATCCACAAGTAACTCCTTGATGCTCCGGTCGTCGCCGAGGATAATCAACGGTGCCCTGTCTGCTGCATCGAGCAGGGTGGATATGGGTCTGGATGCTACTGCTCAGGCCTTCTCGTCTTTTTATCCCCCTTCTTGCGCTTTTTCATCTTTATTGTCCCACTCCAACTTTACTTTAATCTCCTCATTTTCAACCTCCAATTCTTGGACCTCCCTCACTTTGCTTCAATAGTCGCTTGTCTTCTAAATTCAACTCACACAGTCGCAGGGCGTCGCTCCAATCTAGTCGACAAGTCCATGTTTAACCAAGCGGACAACGTCAGTTCCTCCGTTTCCCGGAGTCCTTGAGTCTCACCAAGACTGTCATCCCTCAACGTGCGCACTTTGCTATAGATTGGCCAACAGGCAGTCCTTGCCCGCACACTAGGGACCCTGTCGATCGGTATTTGCTGTTTATCAGAAACCCGCCTGCGATCCCCCACATGCCACACTGGCGGTACATTCTCATTGCGTCTGTCTGGCGATGATGCAGCTTCAAATGTCGGTCAAGCTGGCGTCGGCATTGCTTTGAGTCCCCGGACTGAAGCTGCTCTGATCGATTGGATCCCAGTCAATGGTCAGATGTGCGCCGTTAGATTATCTGGTTCGTTCCATGCTGCGAAGTCACGCGGGAACAAACGGGTGCCCGACTGTCATTGCGGTCTACGCCCCTACAAACTGTATCACTGATTCGGTGAAAGATGATTTCTATCAGCAACTTCACGATCTTTGTTACAGAAGAAGCATGGATACTGTGGTGTTGACTGGCGATCTAAACGCCCAAGTCGTTAAATTGTCCTCTGATAAGCTTCATCTGGGCGGCCAACATGGTGTAGGTTCCCTTAATGATAACGGTGAGCGATTGCTACAGCTGCGTGAAGATGCTTGTCTCTTTCTCGCGAGCACAAACTTCCGACACAGCACCTGCAGAAGCGTGACTCGGCGCCCACCAGCTTCGTACCAGCCATGAACGCAAATCGATCACATCGCGATTAGTTACCGCTGGAGACGCTGTGTACAAAACTGTCGCTCGATTTAGAACGTGGACTCTGAACACACGCTTGTATGCACTGACTTCCGGGTGCGTTTCAGTGGACGTCCGCAACGTCGATGTCGACGGATTGATACCAGCCAGCTGGCGAAGCCAGATGTTCTGAATGTGTATCAAAGTGCGCTGACAATCGGGCTGAGTAAGTGTCCACTGAACACTGTCGAAGATCACTGGTCGCATACTCGTCAAACGTTACTATCAGCAGGCATGCCTTCATGTGGCAAATCAAATTGCCAAACTAGACATCGGGTCTCTACGCAGTCTCGGAATTTATGGATGCTCGCCGACGTCTTCCGGCTGGAAGCGAATACAATTGCAAAGATATCAGGGGAAAATTGCGTGCTAGCCTGAAGAAAGACCGCGAAACCTGGTGGTCTCATCGTGACTCGGAGATGGAAACAGCCGCTGCCGTTGGTAATCATCGTAAGTTATTCCGTCTGATACGGGACACAGGCAATAGGAGACCTAGTGTTAGCGAGACAATACGCGACGAAGGTGGACAGCCGATCCACAGCTTGTCAAAACGCTTGGAGCGTTGGGCCGAACACTTTGCAAGGCAAGTTAACCAACTTGAGTTATCGTTTTCTCTTTCGGGCATTGAGCGCCCTTCTCCCTGGGCCGTCTCCTTAGATCCACCCTCACGCGCAGAAGTCAAACGTGAGATCAGGCTGTTGAAATTGCAGGGGCAGATAGAATTCCCCCAGCCCTCTCCAAATTCGGGGGACTTGCTTTAGTAGATGATTTACACGAGTTGCTAGTGAAGCTTTTGGAGCAATAGATTGTCCCGCCAGACTGGAGCCGCTCGGTCATTGTCCCAATTTGCAATGGAAGCTCCCGTTCGGAATGCAGGATCAGTCTGATCTCAATCCCCACTAAATTGTTTGCGTCTGTCATTCTCCACAGACTGGCACTCGTGAAAGCCAGATTCGTGAAGAGCAAGCCGGGTTTCGTCGAAATCGAGGCTGCATGGGCCACATCTTCACTTTGCGCCAATTGTTGGAGCACCGCCATGTTTATTGACGACCCACTGTTATCGTGTTTCTTGACATAAAAGGTGCCTTCGACTTAGTCGATCGATGTGCTCCTTGGGACTGTCTGCTGAGGAAAGGTGTACCTGATAAATACGTATACATTATCAAAGTGCTGTACGCGCATAGTTCAGGCAGAGTGATGGTTTATGGCAAACTGTTGCCACCCTTCAGTATCACCAGCGGTGTCCGACAAGGTTGCCCGCTGTCACCTTTCCTATTTAACTTCGCAGTTGACGAAGTGATGGAAACATCATTCGCTGGACTCGACCTAGAAGATGTGGAGCTACTTCCTGGTGGGCGACTTCTTGACTTAGAGTATGCAGACGATATTGCCATAATCTGTGACAGCTCCCGAACATGCCAAGCAGCACTGGATCGATTAGCACTGGCTGTCTATCGTTTTGGGTTATGCTTTGCTCCATCGAAATGCAAAGTACTTCTGCATGATTGGCAGGGACGCACTCCTGCGTTAATGCTTGGTGGTGATCAGCTAGAAGTCGTCCAGGAATTCAAGTACCTGGGCTATATTAGCGCCCGTGGGATCGAAGATGAGGTTACGAACCGTATAGTAAAAGGTGCTTTTGCCAATCTCCGCCACCTGTGGCGCAGACGCGACATTACTCTCGTCCTGAAGGGCAGAGTTTACAACGCAGTCGTCCGTTCAACTCTCCTATATGGTTGTGACACTTGGCGCATCAGGTCGACAGACATAGAGGCTAGTCACACTCGATCACCGTTACCTTCCAGCTTAGCTCATGTCTGGTGGGAGCACCGCGTGAGCAATGAGCGTGTTTGGCGTCCCCTATTTGATGCAGGAGGAGCGAGTGAACCGCTCAGCATCATTATATCACGCATCAGACTCCGATGGTTGGGCAACGTGTTGCGCATGCTAGCACACCGACTCCCGCGACGTGCATAGTATGTGCGCCGGGGGTGCGGTTGGAAGAGGAGGCCAAGCGATGACTTGGTCGAGAGAAATGAAAACCCTTACTTCGAAACTGGCGTCGGTTGGTGCATCCCGACGTTTGGTTGGACACACTTGCTGATGTGGCGAAAAGCCGGCCCCAATGGCGTTTGTGTTGTTTCATTGTCCATCCCCTTCGCATTAGATTCCCCCGGCAATCCCGATCTCATGCAAAGCGCACAATATAGTATTTGATATCATATTTTTTGTAGTGCAATTTTTAGCCTCAACCTTTTTGTATTGCCGCACATTAGCTGAGGTGTGTTTCTCAGCTAACGTGTACTGATGATGATGATGATGAATCGCGATCCCGATTGAGATTGCGTTTTGCAATCCATTGACACATGTACTTCAAAGTGATTGCCACTTACAGTCTCGTTTGTTTCGTCAATCAGTCGATGGAGTTGTAGGGGATATAAGTGGAAGTTCATCACATCTAGATCCGGAAAAGCACTCTACAGCTGTTTCATCCTTTCGGGAATCGTTAGCAGTGCGCATATCATCTAACTTACGTGGGGCTTGAACCCGCAACTCGATTGTTAGCAGTCTGGGTAAAACCACTGAGCTATAGGGAACGGTAACGACCGACGTGATTAAGTTACTAGACGTGATGGAGCGCCTCTTACTATCCGCTGACTTGTACATTGCTGGCGTGCATAGGACAGGTTAGCCCCGTCGGCGAGCGTGTGATAGCCGTCTGACTGAGTTTAGATGTGATGAACTTCTACTTATGCCATTCAAATCCCCCTCCATTGTAATCAGTACGCAGACCGAACTGCTTATAATGCCGTGTTAATTGGCTATGTTCGTCGCTTGGTGAGAGGGCTACTCTGTCCACTGCCCTATAATAACTTGCAATTCAGTGGATAGTGAGCGGCGCTGTATCATGTCTAGTAACTGCTTTTTCGAGTGTGATGACTGTTTGACTGAGTCTAGACGTGATGAAATTCTACGTATACCGTTCCTTAAACGTCCGCAAACATTTTAGCCTAGCATGCTCTCCTCGTTATTTATCGGTCGATAAAGGGCCCAATCTGCGTGCAATGTGTTTCGGCTCTGACTGTCCTTTGTGTGTTTGGATTATGACACTTAATATCTATGGGGCTTTGGACTGAGTCGTAGTCATCTCATCTATCGGAATTGTAAGAAAAATAGTGGCTTTTTTTTATTTTACTCGCCGTCAGCTTCGAACTTCATACTAGGCTTTGTTCTTATTTGGATGCTTAAAAGGCAGATGTAATCGGAGCTTGTAATATAAATCGGCAATTGGGATTCGCGACCAACTTCTGTCACATGGACTAGAGTTTCTTAATTCCGTAACCGGATCGCGACACGCAATCTTCGCTGTGCGATACTCGATCATTTCGTCCAACGGGACTGCGTCCGAAATGGATTTTGAGATGATATTTTTAGTTTCAATCTGGATTACAGGGGAGATTAGCAGTGGTTTGGCGAGAATGTGTTGCTTATTGTGAAATAGATCGCTTGTGCTAACCATGATCTCCCCATCGAAGAATGGTTTGCTGGGACCGTTGCTGTGTGTAATTGGAGGTCCGCATTAAATAGTCACCACACCTGCTACTTCTATCTTCTGGACTCTTCGTAACTACTCGGTTTCCTTGCCAGATGAAGTGTCCAGTTTTCGTTCACACCTGATAGCCGGTATGATCACGCTTTGCTCAATGTCATTAGAGCTATACAAATCATGTGTTCGCATGTCATAGTTTCACTGACTTCTCGCAACAACACATGTGAACAACGATCTCGCAACAGTGATTCTGATATAGCGCAAAAATTCGGTGACACACATGCGATTGATCATTCCTCGCCAGAGGTATTTTACGCAAACCGAGCATAAAATATTATTACAAACTCCTTTATCTTATTGGCTCCCTCTACAGATGTGGTCACGTTTTTCACCTTGCGTGTGTGTACGAAGATCAAAAGGCAACTGCAATGGACACACAACAAAGCGACCTGCATCTGGTTTGTCCAATGTGTCTCGCGGATACGGACGTCAATGCTGTACATTTAACGAAACCTTTTGGCCGCAGTCGACGGCGAGCATTTGTGAATCATTCTGACGATCCAATCCGAGTGGAGATTGTGAAGCGAGATGTGACGGTGGTAAGTGCGAACGTGAGGATTTTGCCACGAATATTCGAGAATGAGGTATTTTTTGGTCGAATACATATTACACTCCAATGGAAGATGAAACGGTAGCATTGGCTGAATCCCAGTCAATAGCTGCGACACACCAGAAGAAGCTCTGACTAGTTGACTACTCAGTTCTTTTTGGAACTCCACATTCAATTGGAGTCTGGCTGTTAATAAGCATGATTCTAATCAAGGTATCGTGCGCATTTACATAACGTTCGTTTTTCCGGTCCTTGGCTTACTCGTCGCACATGTCCTGAATTTATTAATAATCGATATGAGCATGATTGTAACGGTAGCATTTTTCACAGAATAAGATATAATAAGATGAGTGGGATCGCATCTAATGCATCGTGAAAATGCATTAAAAATATATGGAAGGTAGTTGTTTCGGAAGCTTAGTCTTTGCATGTTCCCCACGCCGAAACGACGTGTAACTGGAAGCGTCAATATTGGTTGGAAGTGCGTTGATAAATGGTCTGCAAAATGGGTACCAACGCCATTAAGAGCGGCTCATTGTAGCTCTAATGCACAGATCTAAGAATGACTCCTGTGAGTGAATATCCGAAAGAGATGGACTATTGGTTCACCTTTAGACACGTCATGCGAACTCACATTAGACACTGACTTTACGGCTTTCCGTCATTGACTGGTCATAAAGTAGCTGACGATGCTGAGGCGGAACAAGACATCTGATTCGGACGACTTCACCTTGTGTGGTATATTTGATTAGTATATTCGACATTACTTTGACTTGCAGTTATCAATCATCATTCCTATCTTCCAATGGGCTTAGATTGCATGAAAATAATTGACGCGTTATTCTCGCTATCAATGCTCTCAAATTACCTGTGTGTCATCATACTGTACGGGTGGTTGGCTGGTTTTTCTGAAATGCAGCCTATCGCACCCCTCTAATATGGGCGTACAGAATAAATTGATGTGCTTCGACACCAAACCAAACAATGCCTTGCACACAAAATCAATTTGCATAATGGTCTCACGTGATTTAAAGGCCACTTTGCGCTTGTTTGTATTGACATCTATCTTTGAAGAATTTTGAGTATAATTTGCTTATATATTGGGGTCTCCAATTGCAACCCCCAGGATCTGTGCAAAAGTCTGTAGGAGGCTTCCCTCTGATTTCACCACATCCAGTGGGTTCGTCAGAACCGGTCGAGATCACGTATGATTCTTGAGACTTTCTACTTCCCCTTCATAGATCGATTAGCAAATGTAGAATACGCGAGAGATGTAGTCCATTCCATGTGCAAGCACTACTGAGAAAGCGGATGTATAGCGACACATAATTCGGCATGCGCTTCACAACTTAGATCCCAACGACAACATGCAGTGCATCAAGATTATCATGCGTTTTCTTTATTTCTAGTAACTAAAATGATCCGCTGAACGACCGATCTTCAAGTTTTCAGTTCAGAGGACCCAAATGCTTTGCAAGCGCTTCTGAGCCGTCTGACACCTACTGCTGCGCGCCCCGGTGTGTGTGCTTAACGTCTTCATAGTGTAAAGTGTTGTCACAAGACTGGACCAGCTCATCACTACGTTCATGACCATTCGAAATGTCCAATCAGTCTACTTGTCTGATAGCCGTATAGCCATTGGCGGTCGCGTCGCTGTAGGAGGGGTGTGCTCATGATTAAAGTTGGTGTGAATTTTCAAAGTCTCGATCATCTATGATGTAAACGCAGGAGATCGGATTACTGATCGAAGTTACAGTGTAGAGCGATCATTGTTGTTGAGTGGATCAACGACCACCGCGTGTAGTATCGCCATTTTCACATCCGCGTTTAGGTACCCCATTAGTTGTGAGAACTACGAGATTAGCAACTTTCTTGCATTAGTCCCTCTTAACCGGCCGACTATTTTTGTCTCTCCGTTATTTTAGGATCTTTTGATTTTGTTTTTAATGAGCTATTTACGCAGCAGTTGGATCCGTGATGCTTGAACCACGTCATTTCGACAGATTCACCACTATCGACTGTACTGGAGTCTCATGAGGCACGAATAGTTCTCCAAACATACTGTGGTTGTCCTCTTCGATTTACATGTAGGGAATCCCCTTTGAAAAATAGCATTGCTCTTGAAACCGAGACGGCTCGCGCGCACTCTGATACCGCTCCTGGGCACTAGCCCTCTGGCTCACTCTCTTTATCGCCTCTTCCATACCCACTACATTGCCCACCTGAATATCTCTATCCTTCAATCTTCCAGTTATGTCTTTGATCATATAAAGCACTCCTGACCGGCCGCGTTGTTACTATGGTCCAGAATGCACGAAGCACTGTTCCTACACTCTTTCCGAGAAGCTACTGCGAACAACCCCCAACAATTAACATAAAAATCCCCTACACATAAGTATATAAAAATATTCGCTATGGCAGTTTCTAAGTGCTATGTCGTACGTAGCTACTTTCAGGGAAGTCGTGTCTTTCAATGCCAACTCTGTCCTGTGCAACGTTTGTAACTTGCATGGCAGTTAACTTGTAAGTCAAGACGATCCGCAGCTTTCCCCCATTGCCCAATGGCGTAAGGCTGCTGACTGGCGGTGCGAGACACTATTGATCATGGCTTCGAATCCTGATGGATCCCATGGATGCGCACTACAGACGAGGTCCAACAGGTCGTGAAGTACCCCGGACATGTGAAGGATTATGTGATTTAGAAGCTGCCGCGAAGAAACGCCAAACAATTTACTTCAAAATCCACTGCTCTTGAGTTTTCCAAAGCGTCTAGAAAAAGTATTCGTCACACACGTCCCATCACTAAAATCGCGAACGTTATATTCGTGAACTCTAAGCCATGTGAAAGCGATTATGGCACCAACTGGAAAGTTGTTTCTAAACATCGCATTGTTCCACTCTCGTTACTAACTACAGATGGAGGCCATGACACACAAATTCTATAAGTTACCCGAGCAATCTATCTATTTCATTGCAGGTTACCTACAACTGTGTACGTGACAAACACCCACAAAGAGAACACAAAACGAGCCGAGCTTTGGGGACTTCAGTGAACGTTGATTCATTCCACTTGTAAGCAGCAGAATTCCAGGGACAGATCTTTAACAATGATAGTCCCTAGATCGATACTGACGGTGGCTGACCGAGGTACCGAACACCCTGATCGGCTCAATCCTGCTATTGGGAAAACATTACACACGCTCCTCGCCTTCGTTGCGCTCGGTTAACATGTGTTTCATACTACTGTATAAATTATGACGAGGTAGAGGACAAAGAGCGCCAGTCCGCCTATCCAAAGTAGGATACTCTGCTGAGTGGATATCTCCACATTCAGATAGCAATTGGGTGTTGCTCGTCCGAAAACACTGCAATACTCAATTTCTATCCCCTTTAGTAATGATCATCATGATCGAATGACCAACGTTCACTTCAATGGGAATCGCGGCCAACATTGGGATTGCTTGTTGCAATCCATCCATATAACCTGTACTACGAAATGACTTTAAAATTTCCACATTCACTTCTCATTTGTCTGAGTGCCCTCGCCAATCTGTACTCTTGAGGATCAAAAACCTGCCTTGTAATGCGAGGCCGCGTGTTCGAGCCTGTCTAGAAGACGATGCGACCCTCGCAGTACCATTAGCCCATACGCGATTAGTGGTGATTGCGCGGCAGCGAAGCGTCGTTACTGCTTACCGGTGTACTGCTGATATCTTTCTTTCTGAGTGCCCTCTGTGATGACGTCTCACAAAGCGATTAGCATATCTTAAAACTCCAATCTCTGTTTTGAACATCGCTGCATCCAAATCAACGTTTCTGTATCCCCTTCTCTTCCTTTAAGCCACGGAATCCGTTCGACGAATGAGAACACCTTGGAGTTTCTCCTCGTTTTCCACCCCACGGGCATTTTCCACTGTGATATATCTACCCAGCAAAAGTGTGCAACTCACTTTCAAACCTGATTTGTCGCTTATATCTTGCTGATTGAAAGCTCAACAGAATTGTACATATAATAAACAGCTTTCCGTGTATAACTGCTTTCTACACGATGTCAATCGGGTTCTGGTTAACTCTTTGGAATCAGTATACCATTCGGCTGGCGACGGCGACTTCGCACTCCGATAGCCCGTTTTAGAAGCGATGAAACGGCAAACTGCACTTGTCTAGGTTTCTAGCGTACTCATGCAGTACTAAGTGCAGCCGGAAACTCGGCAGATTATAGCCCTCTAAATGTGGTGCTGAATGTTATGATGCATTTGTCCGAAGGGATAAACCCGTCGCACATAGCATCGGTAAAATTAGGTTGTAGGAGCATCATTCTTCACGTATTCACTAGATACATAATTCCAGTAGGTCAGGTGTACACATACACACACGATACATTCTCCATCCGACCACTAGTTCCTCGCCTAGCTGGTTGTTGGTCAGGTGTTCAAACTCAAGTTGGACCGAGGCCAATCTAGACGAACGACACCTATATTTTTGAATAACATCACACACCCCTCTTTAGTTCCGTTCTGCTTCAGTTGTCTTTTCACTACATTGACGTATAGGGAGCAAGTCCCTTCATTTACGAGAGAAACAAAATTTGGGAATAATGAACTTTTCCCTTTGTCTTCTTTCACGGCGAGGGTTATCCAACCACCAGCTCTCATAAACGAAACCCAAACGAGGTGAAACCAGACTCAGGTGGCCGAATGCTGTGGGATGAGGCAACTGGCACAGTCACTCACTCTAATCTGCGTAGGTACCGTGCATGTGGTCAGGAATGGCTGAACTACGAAGTAGTCGACGAACATTCGACACCGATTCTCCTCGGACAGTCTCCGTGAACTTAAAGATTACGAAAGATCAGATTTTGGAGCACTGAAACGAGAGAGCGAAAATACATGTATGAATGTCACTGCACACACGCGGGATACCATCATTTATTATCGCGCACTGTCAGGAGGAATGTGGTCTCGAAATCTGTGGTCCGCAAAGTGGGAGTCTAGAAAGTCTTTGAATTCCGACATCGATTACGCCTGAGTAGTACCTGAGTGGCGCCATTCAGCAAATGGGAAACGTCCAGCGGCTGTTTAGAAATCATCTGAAACACACGCTGTAGCGTTCTTCGAAAGTTTAGATTGCGTTATCTAGTTGATTGTAAACAAAAGCAGATGGTTGACGCTGCTGCCTAAAGATCGTCCTGCTCACTAAAAACGTCCAAACTACGGTATCAAATCTCACAATTGTGAGTTAATCGTCAGCGGACTGGGATCGTGTTTTATCACTTATCCTCTTGAACTGAGCTCACAGAAGACGGTTAGAGTGTGCGCACAGTGCTGAACGGTCGCTATTACACGAGGTACTTGTGTCTTCGTATCCGGATTCTAACAGCACAAGCGATCGGTCGCGCTCTGCCATTTTGCATTACATTAACGCGTTACTCTGGCACGTTCGGTCCAATTCGACGAGTTATAATTAGAATGCCCACACGAAGTGTGTTGGACCACAGCGCCAGAACAGGAATAATTGACAAAGACGAAAGAAACAAAATAAGTTCGTGGGAGTAGCTGACATCTCGGAAAAACTGGACGAATATCAAGTCGGCAGAATGGTTGGCGGCATCCGGTTTCGGATTTGCCTGCCACTGTGGCCAGCCACAGGACGCCTGCGCCTACAGAGGGACCATGGGTGGCTTGCGCTGCACCACCCACAGCTCCAAACACATTCCATATCTAGTGTAAACCCGAAGGAATAAGACAGATAGGCATGTGGATGGGAGTGAGGTTTCATCAATGGAGCCGGCCCACACTCCTTCACAGGCAAACACAAGCTCGCTGTAGTTGGGAAATCAAGCGCACACAAGGCGGTGGCTGGACAGTAGTCCGCTCCACGCTGAGTGCATGGAACCACTTTTCGAGCCTAACACGGCCACAAGGACCGTGCACCCCGTCCCCTCCAGCAACGACCAACTGTCTCCTGGAGCCAGTATGGACGAGGTAGTGGGTAATAGACAGGTAGGCACTTTGTCAACATGCACATCAAGCGCAGCCACACCGGGGATATCAAGCAACAGCCAATAACCTGGAACGACAAGATGAAATAAAACAAATCCAATAATGCATACAGATACGGTGGCATAACTCTTCGCCAAATTAGCACATGAAGTAAGTTGGTTAGCAACGAATCCGCGATAAGGAAAAGATGTCCAAAAGTTTGTTAAAAATGCTACAAAACGCAACGAAGTTACCGAAGATAAGCGCAATTAATGTAAGCAACGTGGCCAGTTAATAGAAGAGTATTGATGTAGGCAGAACAAACCAAATAACGTGGGATGAAATTTAGCCAGCTTAAAAAGACCTAGTTTAAGTGCAAGTTGGTTTAGCCCAACTGCGGTGAAGAAGCATCAAGAATGCAACATCAGCCTCAGCATGGGGCAGAATACCACCGTTGTAACAGGCCATGACGTAGGCAAGTGACAGCGGTCATATGGATTGAATCGCTGGCATACGATTTAACTTGCACGCACACTGGAGATACTTGGAATTGATATCTGCTGCCTGACTGAAACACGACTCCATGAATCTAACTCGGTCTACCAGCGGGTGTCACCGCTCCACCCACGCGCCCGCTTCCACCTACGCCTCTCTGGTGACGCCGAGTCTGCCGCATCTGGGCAAGCTGGTGTTGGAATCGCCCTCAATGCTAGAGGCGAGACTGCTTTGATTGATTGGATTCCGATCAATAGCCCCCTTTGTGCGATGAAACCCCATGGCTCTTGTAAAGTTAGCAGACGTCGAGTCGAAAAGCGTGCTCTCTTCGTGATCTCTGCCTACGCGCCCACTGACTGTACCTTGGACACCGTCAAAGACCAGTTCTACCAGAACCTTCATGAGCTGCTCCTAAGGACTCCTAAAACAGGCAGGTGACTTCAACGCGCGTGTCGGTTGTCTGCTGTCATGTGAGCGCCACCTCGGGGAACTGCATGGATATGATGATGTTCGCTCAGACAATAGAGAGAGACTGCTCCGTCTGTGTGCTGATCATCCACTATTCCTCTCTAGCACCAGCTTTCGTCATCCTGGACGTTAGTACGCCACCTGGCGCCCCCCATCATCAACCCAGCGCTGGTCACAGATTGACCACATAGCTATAAGTCGCAGGTGGCGCGCCAGTGCACCCGACTGCCGATCATTTTGGTCAACATGTGTCGATGCCGATCATGCACTGGTATGTGCGACGGTTTTCATGCGTTTCGGTGGTTCGCCTAGGTCAAAACACACCCGGCTGAACACCTACAAGTTGGAGGACCCAATGGTGAAAAAAGAGTATCAACAAAGGGTTCGTGAAAATCTCGCTCTCTCACACTCTGGATGTTGATCAACACTTGTCAAGTCTGCAACAAGCCTTGCTGTCGGCCGGTTTGTCCAGCTGTGGCCTCGCTCGCTCCACTTCCAAAAGCTGGATCTCGGGAAAATCATCGGAATTGCTAGACGGGTGTTGCCCACTGGCGTAGAGTACAACGCACACCGCCGATCTATTACGCAACAGTTGAAAGCAAGCCTTCGCTCCGAACGTGAATCTTGGTGGTCAAAACAATCTGATGAGATGGAAGCCGCTGCATCAGCTGGCAACTTCCGCCGTCTATTTTACATCATCAGGGCCACCGGTTGCAATTTCCACGCTATCAGCCAGACGATTTGCGAATCAGACGGCACGAAGATCACCAACCATCACAGACGATTGGGTCACTGGGCAGAGTATTTCGCTCTTCAATTCAATCAACCAACACAGCCCCATGTCACACCTCCAGCCCCAATGTATGATGCTTGGCCTGTCTCCCCAGCCCCCCCTTCAATGAAGCAGAGATTCGATATGCAATCCAATATTTGAAACGGCACAAGGCTGCGGGTCCCGAGAGCCTACCACCGGTTCTATTTAAAGATGGCGGGAATGTACTTGTCAGCGAAATCCTATCGCTGTTCATGAAAGTTTGGACTGAGGAGAAGGTTCCGAACTCGTGGGGAGAACCGGTCATTGTTCCGATTCACAAGAAGCGCTCCAGCGCCGATTGCTGCAACTACCGCGGAATCTTGTTAATCTCTGTCGCATCCAAAATCTTTGTGTCGGTTCTACATAGCAGGCTTTCAACGACTAGAGAGGAGTTTTCCCAAAAACAAGCAGGATTTCGTCCAGGCAGCGGCTGCATCGACCAAATCTTCACGCTTCGCCAAGTTCTCGAACTTCGTCACATCCACCGGCGGCCAACAATCGTAGTGCTTTTGGACATCCGAGCGGTATTTGATTCAGTAGATAGATCTGTGTTGTGGAACTGTTTACTGAAGAAAGGTGTGCCCAACAAGTTTGTAACCATCCTGAAAGAACTTTACAGTCTCGCGTCGGGCAAAGACAAGGCTTACGGCACGCTCTTCTTCATTTGCTGTGACCAGCAGTGTTCGCTAAAATTGCCCTATTGCACCTTCCCTTTGCAATTTCGCCATTGAAGATGTTCTCCAAAGAGCACTGGAAGGTGTCCAGTACTGCGGTGTTGAGCTCCTCCCTGGAGACAGAGTCACGGACTTGGATTACGCCGATGATATCGCCTTGCTGGGCGACGAGTCACAAACCGCCCAGAGCGCCTTGGACCGCTTGGCGATGGACGCGTCTAAGTACGGTTTATGCTTCACTTCGGGAAAATGTAAAACGCTGCTCCAGGACTGGCAGGTGCTTAAACCAGCGCTCACCATTGTTGGACATGTTCTGGAGCAAGTTCCTAGCTTTACTTATCTAGGGAGTTGCATCACGGCTGGTGTTGGAGATGAAATCTCACAACGGATTGCAAAGACCCGTTTTGCATTCATCAAACTGAGGCACCTATGGCGTCGTCGTGATGTCAGTCTCAAGCTCAAGGGCAGCGTGTACAATGCTCCCGTCCGTGCAGTACTCGTGTACGGCTGTGAGACTTGGCCTATTCACTGGAAAAACATGAAGCGGTTGTCAGTCTTCGACAATCGCTGTCTACGAAAGATTGCTCGGGTGTGGTGGCAACACCACGTAAGCAACGCAGAGGTGCGAGACCGCGTCCTCGGAGCGAATAGTGTCAGTCGCTGCCATACAACCATGAGGACCTATGAAATAAAGAATAAGAGGGAGAGAAGGGGGACTTACCTGAAAACCTTAATGCCCTAAGCAAATATTCTGGGTCAAGGCGCCTACACCTTGTGTTAACAACATACCGTCACAAACAGCTGGCTATCGTGCAAAGATAAGGCTGCATCGGCGAGACAGCTTCCTTGCGGCTTTCACTGCCACGCGTCATAATCAGACATTACCCCGCAGATAACTCAGCACCAAACACACTTTAAACAGACAATCCGATTAGGAGACGGCAGCAGACGCGCCACTGGTGTCGGTTGCGAGCCACGTCCTGCAAAGTCTCGAGCCAAGCACAAGGTGAGTCACGTGGACTCCAATCCGGAAGGCGAGACGGACCAACGGCACCCAGTTTGGTCGTCAGTGACTTCATTTCACGCTGCCAAGTCAACTTCTGTCCACCTCGAGCCTTGCGCTATCCTACACCTGGTAGACTGAACAAGGCCCTCCTAGGTAAGCGGTGACCAAGCATGCGTAGCACATGCCCGAGCCAACGCAACTTATTCAGTGCTATCTGTTGTTCTAGGAAGCTAGCATGTTTATCACTACCTAGTACTCGCCTACGCACATCATCGTTGGGGATACGCTGGTGCCATCCGACACCAGCAATGCTTCGCAAACAATGATGATCAAAGACTTGAAGGCGCCTCAGATCTTCAAACCGAAGGGGCCAAGTTTCACTACCATAGAGCAGAACGGCCCTCACTGTGGCCTTGTATACCCGGCCTTTCAGACGGAGGGAAACTCTTCTGTCGCCAAAGATGACGCAGGTTATAGAAGGCAGCTCTGGCCTTTGCAATGCGTGAGCTAACGTCAGTTTCTATGCGCCCATCATTGCTGATGAAGCTGCCAAGATAAGTGAATTGATCAACCACATCGAGTTCCTCGTTAGCAAGCGTCAAGGGGTCATCGAGTGGCTGGTGGTCCTGCAGCAACACTTTGAAGGTGCGAACTGCATACCAAATAATGGGACCACTCTGGACAGGCTATTCAGGGTTGATTGTGCCGCCCCAACATCATCGAAAAGCAACACGATATCGTCCGCATAACCTAGGTCAACTAACCTTTCACCATGCTGGTGAGTAAGCCAATCTGCAACAACAGGACAGGTACTGTGAGCCCATTGGCAATACGTCGCGCACCAAGCAGAAGTCATGTGTTAAAATTTGCGCATCTAATCGTCAGCCCTCGGTAGCTCAGTGGTAGAGCAGCGGACCGGAAATTCGTGGACCGGGGTTCGATTCCCCGTCGAGGCATATTATTGTGCGTGAATTTTAATCGTGACTTCTACTTTCTACAAAATTTACCCATCTCAAACATCCAAAATTTATATATATATATATATATATATATATATATATATATATATATATATATATATATATATATATATATCTGTTCGAATAGCTCATCTATCCCAATTTTCCGAAGAGCCCAAATTTATACGTCCACTGTAGCGATACGCATTTGGGAATTAGTGTCTAGAGTTAAGAGCTGTTCTTAATGGGGGCAAAGTTATACAACAAACAGTGAAGATGTGGCAGCAAAACGTCCTGAAAATGATCGGTGCTGGTCACGATGGCGAGGTGGAGCGCCGAATTCTTTTGTTATCAGATCGATGGATACAGGATTGATGATTGAGTATATTTCCATCTGATTTTTACAAAATATTTAACCATCGCGTTCAGAACGAGCGGTTCAACGTCAACATGAAATGAGTCTTCAGCATTGACAATATCCAGAAAGTCCATGAAATTGCCACCAGAGCCGTAGCTTCCTTTACACATCATAAATACTGATCCGCAAGGGTCCAATGTCGCTTTTATGACCCGAAGTAGCCTGTGATACAAATCAGGACGATAAATTGTTTCCGCGGTCAAAATAATATCATATTTATGAGTTCTCGAGGATTCCCAATGTTCTGCCAACCTGAGCCAGTCGCCGCTGACGAAATCCAAGTGTGGAACGGCCGATTCACAAGCAGCTAAGTTCAATTTGGCATTGGGAATGGTCCAATGGGTCAGCACATCACGGTTATAGTCCTGAAAGGAAGATATGATAAATGCAACACTGTTAGCGTCTCGATCACATGCGATGTATGCTGATGCTAAAATCGATAAAGTGTGAGGAGACCATCCTATTACACCGAGCACTTGTATGCAAGATACGAATGCTATAAATGTCATCGGCTTTAAGGAAAGTTTTGCTGCTCGAGACGGTTACGACTGGAACAAGATACAATATACTGCGGTTATCGTATCAGTGGCACAGAGAACTTGGGAAATCTGGTACAAAAAGGCAACCGATCCCGCATTCATATCACTGGTCAACAATGGTTTTAGTAAGAGAGCAACAACGAACAGCACTTTTACGGGATAACCTGAATTCAGATTATTTCGTGTCTTCTCATTCAGCCGCTTACAGACAATTCGTGGAAAGAGTAAAGGAATGCAATTGAAAAAGGATCAATAAGAAAATCAATAAAACACTGAGAAAATCAAGGTCATCGCCTGCGTCTTACCAGGACAAGGCAAGACTGACCACAAGGTCTACCTGTTTGCAAAGGTTTGGTTTCATTCCTCGGATGGCTAGAGATATAATAATGATTTCAGGGTAACTTCGTATCACTGATTCTGAAGCTGGCCCGGGCATTGCTAGACTAGCTCCATTTTTGAGATTTGGTGCATTCACGAAAAGCAATGTAACGGAGAACAATAGAATGTTTAAAAGGGAATTGCTTTATAAGTTCTTTTCGATAAATCTCTTCAAGCAATTACAATTATGAGCTTCATAATCATTTGCATAGTAGCTATTGCTAGCGATGCGACATACAGTCGTGAATGCTGTGATCCGATGAACGGTGGCAATCTATGTCTTTTTGAACCCACTACCATTGACCATTATGTCAGAAGTCAGGTGATCAGGCTAGGGCCACGGTAGTGTTAAACTCTGCATAAGTGCACGCTGTTTACACAGTTCCAGCTTCAGTTGCTTGATCGCAGTTGCTTCTGCTGTGGCCAGTAGGCGCTTCCTGAGTCCTTTTTTGTGTAGCGTTTTGCTGCTACATACACTATTCTGAAAGCCACTTTCGTGTGTAATGTCCACTATCTACTAGGTGTTCTAGGATAGAGCTGTGGACATTTCTGGTGGTACCATGCTGTAATCGGGCAGAGAAGTGTTCTGCTATCCGCTTTGACAGACGTTTGGTCGTGTGTCCGAGGTATCTCACACCACAGGTGCAAGTGAACTGGTATAGGACATAGGATTCGGAATGGGCCGGAATTCTGTCTTTTAGGGGGTTGGTGATGAGCGGAACGGTTTCGGTGTGAATGTGGACTCTGGCGGCCGGGTACGTTTGGTTTAGCGCAAAAGTCAAGTTTCTACACAAGAGTTCGAACTGTATGTCTCCTATGAAAGGCACTGAGAGGAAAACATCTTTCTTTCTCACGGTCACTTTTAGCTCAGGTTCAGCTTGGAGCTGGGAATGCTTTTTTGATGAAAGCAGTTGGGTACCCGTTGCTTTCCAATGCATTGCCTATGAAATTCTTTTCCGCTTCCAGTGACTCAGGGCTGCAAATCCTTGTAGCCCGATAATGCAGGTAACGTACCAAGTTTCATTTGTACTTTATCGGCACGAAACTGTGGAAGTGCGTGTACTGACCTACCCAGGGTGGCTTGCAGAAAACCTTTCTTTCAAGTGATCCGTCCTCTCGTCGTTGCAGCAAAACATCCAAAAATGGCAGCATACTGTCCGCTTCGACCTCGAAAATGAATTTCAACGATGGGTGCGCGTTGTTAAATTGATTCAAATGGTGAACATGATCAGTATGAGAGTCGCAAACAATAAACGTATCATCCATGTATCGTTTGTGATAATCAAGGAATACGATTAGGTGTCTGATAGGTCCACGTTCAATTTCTGCGAGAAAAATGTCTACAAGCAGCGGTCCTAGGAGCGACCCCAGTGCAACTCTGTCTATAGTATTTTCTATCAAATAGAAACTGTCTGTTGAAGGTGCAACGTAGAATCAGCTCTTTCACATTACGAGCCGGGATCGGAAGAACAATGTTGTTTTCTGTTAGGTATTCACAGATGAAATTGACCATTCGTAAAGATTCTACATCAGAAGTGAGAACTAATTGTTCTTTCACGTTTAAGTTTTCTACCTGATGAACGAATGCAAATGTGTCACTCACAGTGTGGCCGGAGAATTCTTTACGTACTGTTTGGAGAAGTTCCACAAGCCACTTGGCGACTGCGTGTGTAGCAGGTCCAGACATACTAATCGCTGGTCGAAAGAGGCTTTCAAATTAGTGTATGCAGCAGCAAAACGCTGCACAAAAAGGGACTCAGGAAGCGCCTACTGACCACAGCAGAAGCAACTGCGATCAAGCAACTGAAGCCGGAACTGTGTAAACAGTGTGTACTTATGCAGAGTTTAACCCTACCGTGGCCCTAGCCTGGTCACCTGACTTCTGGCATAATGGTCAATGGTAGTGAGTTCAAATAGACATAGATTGCCACCGTTCATCCGATCGCAGCATTCATGACTGTGTGTCGCATCGCTAGCAATAGCTACTATGCAAATGATTATGAAGCTCATAATTGTAATTAGCTGAAGTGATTTATCGAAAAGAAATTTCTTCTCAATTTCCTTTTGACATCGGAATGGGTATAATTTATGAAAATGTTTAGTCTAAGAAAAATATGGAAATAGTTTCTAGTACTATAAATGCAGATAGAGTAAATATTTACCGATCTTGTCGAACATAATATATATTGCTCGTGCTACCGAGAAATCGTGCCCAAAAAGAGACGGATCCTATGCAAGAGAACTGAAGAAATACTCTAATCGGCTGATGTGTACCATGACATTTAATTCTTGAAAAAGTTATTTGTACGATTTTCTAATATGTGGTTCAACTAAAAATCCCCATCTAAGAAGCTCCAGGAGTAGTGAGCCACCTGCCTTGAGACCCCTATTTTCCATCATCTTAACCTCCTGTGATTCAAACTCTCACCATGTTCTTCGTTAAAATCACCAAGTTAATCCGGTTATCGTCTGAGTGACTATGGAGAAAATGTAACTCTGTGCAAATGTCACAGCCCAATGTGTCAGTTTGTAAATAGATTCTCCAGCAAATTTTACAGTTCCTTGCTTTATGATTACCCAGAAAATTTTGGACAACAGGAACAAAACCATCTCAAAAGCGCGTGTTTCAACACTATTCATACATGTAAAATTTCGATCATTAATGAGTAGTCGAGGACCATGGAGGATGCCGGCTTTCAGTTACTCCATAACTGGCTTGAGGAATGATATACAAATGTACTTGAAGCAACCACCATCTTTGTCCAGTGCTTTGACAAATTGTTTCATCAGCCTTAAGTTTATATGAAGTGGTGGGAGAATAATGTTACCCTGCCAACCAAACGCTTCCTGACGATATTTGCTGCGCCAAAATTCTTGTTTTCCCTGGTAGGCCAAGTCACTTTCTTTCAATGAGGTGATTCAGTCTAACTGTCTTATAAGCGCGTCCACTTTGCTGTCCAGTTTGAAAATTCACCATCTTTAAATCCACGTAAATAATCTAGTATCAATTGTGTTCATTGAAATCTTTTACACTGACAGCACAGAGATGACAATCATGATGACGGTTTGTCGGTGCGTTTCACATCATGGGGCACTAGGACTCAAGCCTCTGCTTGCAACCGCTGTTCACTGGCAGAGACACTCGACATAGCTCTTGCAAACTTAATGAGGAGCCAAGGACTTTCCTGACCGCTATATATTTAAGTGAGCGCAATAGGCTTGACTCACAACGAAGTAATATTATCCCTTGATTTTAACAAGATTTATTTGCCACAAATGTAGCAGAATGCATCGAGGTTGTCAGCAGATAAGCAGACCGCTAGGTAGTCAAAGCTGTCTATTTGGTTAAGCAGTGAACCCTCAAGGTTGAGTACAGGAATAGATGAGCATAAGTTTTAAGCCAGAATTTGCACTTCGAAGGAGCAAAAGGCGTGCCATAATCAGATGATTCAATAGTCGAATGGAGCAAAATGGATTACACGTTCCAAATACCTCCGCCGAGTAACATCAACGTAATCAAATTTGGTTGTAGTAATATATGGAGGAAGCCAAAGTTTTGGGGGGCGTCCAGAGCACTTAGCAATTGCAAGTGATAGTGACGGATGTAGTAAGCTCGCCATAAACACAAAGGATCTTGGACATGGAGGTACAGTGGAACTCTGGTCATTGACAGGCAATGTCATAAAACAAGTCGATCAAATCATGCAGACGCAACCCAGATACCCAGAAAGGTAGCAATAGTAGGTCCGTGGTCGAGGTTACAGTGTTCGAGAGCTTCGAGGGTTTGAACGACTCATCCATACGCCTTCAATCGGTGGAAGCCATGTAGTGCTTAACGTAGGAGAGGTTTACGAGTTGGGCAGTATGCGGAGCAGAATGGGCACCAGTAGTTTGAAGACTGGCTTAAGAAATATGAGGCGAAGGCTTTTTTTCAAAAAGGCAGACCATAGCCAGCTCGCTTCAAATGGAACTGAACTTTTGTTCGCGCCAGACCTTAAAATACGAAGTCGTTATCTGTTCTGGAAAAAGTAGGCCGCTACACTTAAAACGGTTTCGGACGAAAGTCATATAACCCGAAAGAGCTGAATTGCTTAAATCATGAATCTCGACAACTGAATACTGAGAACAGAGAGCGGGAAAATAAAACTCTGTGTTGCTCCATCATAGGTGGATCGGACACATGCGCGGAATCACATCGCTGATTCCTGCGTGGTGGCAGCATATTGCAGTTGCACTACATCTTATCCGGGTGCGATACGCTCCCTATACCTGTAGACCCCAAAAGTGAGCGTCAAGTAAGCTCTTAAATTCCGACACCGATTTCGCCTCGACTATTGTCTCAGGCAACCTGTTTCAATATTTCACCACTCGACGCTCGAAGCATAGCGGGTGAGCGATGCGCTTTAAATCCGGTACCAGTAATTTGTACCAATGTCCGGGTGTGTTGC